GGAGCCCGGCGGGCGAACGGCCACGTCCCCTGGCGCCCGACAACCTCAAAATGTTGGGGACCACTGGTCTAGATGGTGCATGATTGCAGGACTCTTGAGTGCAAAAGACTGGGCTTGATGATCTCTTGAGGTCCCTTCCACTCCTGATTCTATACAAGATGAAAGGAGGGCTGGAGCAACAAACTGAACATAATCCTAGATGTTAAATTAAGATACACACTGGGTGAGCAACTGACGGTGATATCAGAAATGTCTATATCTGCCCATCTGAGCCTAACTTTTGGGCTACGTCTAGACTACATGGCTCCGTTGACAGAGCCATGTAAAATAGTTTATTCGGCATGGTCAAAGAAGCCGGGATTTAAATAATCCCCGCTTCATTAAAATAAAAATGGCCACTGTACTGTGCTGACAATCAGCTGATCTGGCACAGCGCGGCAGTCTAGACGTGGCGCGGTTGACAAAGGAAGCCTTTGTCAACCGCTCCGGTAAACCTCGTTTCATGAGGCACAGCGCGGCAGCCATTTTTATTTTAATGAAGCGGGGATTATTTAAATCCCCGCTTCTTTGACCGTGCCGAATAAACTATTTTACATGGCTCCGTCGATGGAGCCATGTAGTCTAGACGTAGCCATACATTTAATTTGTTTCAATGGGGTTTTGAAAGATTTATACTACTGGCTAACTCATCTAGCTATCTTAATGTGCTACTGTGAGTTTAGAACTACCCAGATGTATTGTGGACTTTTTGGACTGTGTTCAGCTGATACTTTTTGGAGAGTGGACTGTGTTCCAGCCACATGAGTGTCCTTAGAAGTTGATGGATGAACTAATGGCATTCAAGCACCTTATTCTCTTCCTCCTTTGCTGTTCCAGGTGTGTTTCGGGGTGGCCATGACATCTTGGTACGTTCTCGTCTTGTCCTGACAGATACTGTAACAATGCAGGTCGCCGCCCGGAGTGGAGAAGAGCTTCCTGTGGATGTAATCATGGCCTCTGTTGGCTAATCATGACCTTTTTGAGACTGCGCTCTGACACAAGGCCCATCCATAAAGGGAAAATGTTCTTGGTTTTCTGCTCCCTTCTGTTCTGGACATTGAATTGGAATCACATTCACTACAGCAGCTTTTTATCATTAGTAAAACTAGGACAGTTATTTTGGGTTTTTCTAAATAAAAATTGTGGAGTTTAAGGTCTGATAGGAAGTTTGAGGAAGTATCTAGTTTCACTTAAATCTACAAACTTATCTAAAGAATCAGTCCATTTAATACTAAGTTGCTGGATTCTGCAGCACGAGGGAGAGAAGGGGAGAGTCCTTAGTTTCCAATTAAGCCTTTTTTAACAATCCCTATCATAATAGTGTATCAAAAAGACCCTTAAAAACACAACATAGTAAATAAAAGAATAAAATTCCCTCTCCAGCAGGCTACAAAACTTGACTGCCTTCCTCCACCATCTTGATGATAAATGAGAGGCTGATCTTCTCCCAGAGTACTTACCCCTCAAAACAGTAGGTTGGGAATGTGTGCTTGCAATTGTATTAAGTTAAAAATGGGAAATAAGTGCCTAGCTCTCAGCTTTGCACAACCATGTCAGATGGAAATAGTATCCATAAAGTGCAAATCAGTTGAACACACTGTATATTTGGTTTGGCTGTTAACATTTGCGTAGTTATCAGTGACTGCTGTCTCTGCCATTCTTAGATGCAACACTGAAGGCCTACTGTGTAAGTGGTGGAAGATTATGTGATTTTGGTGTGGTGACATATCCTGGGAAAAGTGACCAATTAGATTTTTTAGTATGTAAGAAGCAATATGGTGAAGTGTAACAGTGTGTGGTGTCAACCAGAGCTAGTGTCAGACAAGGGAAATCCAGGAGAGAGGTCTGCTTTTTGCACCTGTAATTCATCTTTGTTCTCTGCCTGTATTTTTTATGCAAAATGTCACCATATAATGTAACATTAAATGATCCTGATGGAATTTACATAATTCTTGGCCTAAAGGTGTAGCCAAAGGCATAGCAACAACTTACTTCTGCAACATTGTCAAGGCATATGCAACTGGTGGGGAAATTGTCATAGACAGTGCCAGCCTTGCATGCTTTATTGAAAAAGTGTAGGGATTATATCGGGCAGCAACAGCTTTTGTCTTTGCCCTTTCTGTTCACTTCTTCTGTGTTGTCCAAACCACTGCCATGTGTGGCTGTTTGGCCTGTTGAGTGTGGTGAGTTTGCTTTACTGTAAATTTACTTGCGCAAGAACGCGTGTGCAGTGTAGACATAACCCTCCCTACTCCTCCCTCCCTCCCTCCCTACTCCTGCTTTTTGATATAAGCCTCCCACTTCAGTTTTATTTCTGTTTTAAAGCAAGCTCTGTCTCTGCTGGTCCTGAGGCTTTGGCCACTATAGGACAACACATTCACCACATGTGAAATCCCTGGTGCTAGCCTGAAGCTTCTGCAGCAGTCTGTCAGCTAGAAGAAAACTCTGTGTTTCTTCTTACCTGAGAGGTACCATTTCCCCTTTTGCTGCATCGGCAGCACCAGTAGGGGAATTGCAGCAAAACACAAAGCTGAGTGGGCAGCAGACCACAAGTCCTACGGGCCCAGACCCTGACCGCGAAGGGAGGGTTTGGGAAGGTCTTTCCCGGAGATGTGTAGCTGACAGAATGGCCGGGAGACAGGCACGCCCGTCCCACCAGACACTGCCGTGTACTTTTGCACAAGAGCATCCATGGCAGCGTGGATGCTGTCTTGTGCAAGAGAGGTCTGTTGCCCATCCACACTATCCTTTTTTACGCAAGAGCTCTTGCGCAAAAAGTCTTATTCCTCATGGGGAAAGGAATAATACTTGCACAGGAAGCCCTCTGTTCTGACTCTTTACTGTAAATTTACTTGCGCGAGAACACGTGTGCAGTGTAGACATAACCAAGGAGTCCCTCCCTCCCTACTCCTGCTTTTTGATATAAGCCTCCCACTTCAGTTTTATTTCTGTTTTAAAGCAAGCTCTGTCTCTGCTGGTCCTGAGGCTTTGGCCACTATAGGACAACACATTCACCACATGTGAAATCCCTGGTGCTAGCCTGAAGCTTCTGCAGCAGTCTGTCAGCTAGAAGAAAACTCTGTGTTTCTTCTTACCTGAGAGGTACCATTTCCCCTTTTGCTGCATCGGCAGCACCAGTAGGGGAATTGCAGCAAAACACAAAGCTGAGTGGGCAGCAGACCGCAAGTCCTACGGGCCCAGACCCTGACCGCGAAGGGAGGGTTTGGGAAGGTCTTTCCCGGAGATGTGTAGCTGACAGAATGGCCGGGAGACAGGCACGCCCGTCCCACCAGCTCAGACTGGGCCCGGCACGCCGATGCGGTTGATGACACAGTCGCGCCATCCAGGCCTGACTGTGGGTTTACACGGTGCGTTGCACCGAGGGACGGCAGAGCGCCACTGAGAGTGCGTCCGGGCTGTACCCATGGAGCCCCACAGCGAGGCAGACCCAGGGGCCTCCTCACCTTGGCCAGCTCCCAAACATGGCCCTTCCCCCAGCCTGAGCTCAGCTCTCCCGCAGCGGGTGCTGGGAGTGGGGCGAGCCCGGCAAAGCCCCAGCCCTCAATGCAGCAGGGAGCTGGGGCTGCACTCCCAGGCAGGATGGGGGAAGAAACCTCACAGCGCTGCTCCGAGCCCTGCCTCCCCCCTCCAGTGCGTGCGGCAGGCCATGGGCTGAACCTTGCGGGGTGCGGCAGCACCCCAGTCACGTGCCCATCGCTTCATTACTGGTTGGACACCACAGCCCACCACCTAATGGTAGGCAGTGAGGAAACCTCACCATAGCCCTTGCTAACACTCAAGAGCTACATCTACAATGCAGGATTCTTGTGCAAGATCTGTTTTACGCAAAGGTGCATTCACACTGCCGTGTACTTTTGCACAAGAGCATCCATGGCAGCGTGGATGCTGTCTTGTGCAAGAGAGGTCTGTTGCCCATCCACACTATCCTTTTTTACGCAAGAGCTCTTGCGCAAAAAGTCTTATTCCTCATGGGGAAAGGAATAATACTTGCACAGAAAGTCTTATTCCTCATGGGGAGAGGAATAATACTTGCACAAGACGCCCTCTGTTCTGACGCTTTACTGTAAATTTACTTGCGCAAGAACGCGTGTGCAGTGTAGACATAACCAAGGAGTCCCTCCCTCCCTACTCCTGCTTTTTGATATAAGCCTCCCACTTCAGTTTTATTTCTGTTTTAAAGCAAGCTCTGTCTCTGCTGGTCCTGAGGCTTTGGCCACTATAGGACAACACATTCACCACATGTGAAATCCCTGGTGCTAGCCTGAAGCTTCTGCAGCAGTCTGTCAGCTAGAAGAAAACTCTGTGTTTCTTCTTACCTGAGAGGTACCATTTCCCCTTTTGCTGCATCGGCAGCACCAGTAGGGGAATTGCAGCAAAACACAAAGCTGAGTGGGCAGCAGACCGCAAGTCCTACGGGCCCAGACCCTGACCGCGAAGGGAGGGTTTGGGAAGGTCTTTCCCGGAGATGTGTAGCTGACAGAATGGCCGGGAGACAGGCACGCCCGTCCCACCAGCTCAGACTGGGCCCGGCGCGCCGATGCGGTTGATGACACAGTCGCGCCATCCAGGCCTGACTGTGGGTTTACACGGTGCGTTGCACCGAGGGACGGCAGAGCGCCACTGAGAGCCCTGCAGCGAGGCAGACCTGGGGGTCTGGAGCCCCACCCAAGAGAGGTAGAGGGGCCCTACTTCCCCTCCTCACCTTGGCCAGCTCCCAAACGCGGCCCTTCCCCCAGCCTGCGCCCGGCTCTCCCGCAGCGGGTGCTGGGAGTGGGGCGAGCCCGGCAAAGCCCCAGCCCTCAATGCAGCAGGGAGCTGGGGCTGCACTCCCAGGCAGGATGGGGGAAGAAACCTCACAGCGCTGCTCCGAGCCCTGCCTCCCCCCTCCAGTGCGTGCGGCAGGCCATGGGCTGAACCTTGCGGGGTGCGGCAGCACCCCAGTCACGTGCCCATCGCCACCGCGATAGCGGCTACAGCTTCATTACTGGTTGGACACCACAGCCCACCACCTAATGGTAGGCAGTGAGGAAACCTCACCATAGCCCTTGCTAACACTCAAGAGCTACATCTACAATGCAGGATTCTTGTGCAAGATCTGTTTTACGCAAAGGTGCATTCACACTGCCGTGTACTTTTGCACAAGAGCATCCATGGCAGCGTGGATGCTGTCTTGTGCAAGAGAGGTCTGTTGCCCATCCACACTATCCTTTTTTACGCAAGAGCTCTTGCGCAAAAAGTCTTATTCCTCATGGGGAGAGGAATAATACTTGCACAAGACGCCCTCTGTTCTGACGCTTTACTGTAAATTTACTTGCGCAAGAACGCGTGTGCAGTGTAGACATAACCAAGGAGTCCCTCCCTCCCTACTCCTGCTTTTTGATATAAGCCTCCCACTTCAGTTTTATTTCTGTTTTAAAGCAAGCTCTGTCTCTGCTGGTCCTGAGGCTTTGGCCACTATAGGACAACACATTCACCACATGTGAAATCCCTGGTGCTAGCCTGAAGCTTCTGCAGCAGTCTGTCAGCTAGAAGAAAACTCTGTGTTTCTTCTTACCTGAGAGGTACCATTTCCCCTTTTGCTGCATCAGCAGCACCAGTAGGGGAATTGCAGCAAAACACAAAGCTGAGTGGGCAGCAGACCGCAAGTCCTACGGGCCCAGACCCTGACCGCGAAGGGAGGGTTTGGGAAGGTCTTTCCCGGAGATGTGTAGCTGACAACGGCAGGGAGACAGGCCCGCCCGTCCCCACAGCTCGGACCGGGT